AACTTACTGTGAGTAGGAACTATCTTTTTATTTAAAAAGTATTAACACCGCACTCACTCCATTTTTTGGTCATTTGCTCTAATCACCGTGGCGAGCCCGTGTTGAGCTTCCCTTTAGTAATATCTTATCTTTGCTAATTTTTGAGATGTTACAGTATCCCACGATGGGTGCGATTATATACCCAATTTTATGATAAAACAAAAAGGTATCAAATGAACAAATTGTTGAAATAATATCAATGTGTCATGAAATATTTGTAAACTGGGGCAAGTACCATATAAATTTCACCTTGAACGACCCAACTTACAAATTTAAATTAACCAGATATACCAATCCCATTACCCAACATTACAAATGCAAATGCAAACTTGGCAAAACCTCATAGAATACAAATGCAATGATGAACGAATGTTAAAGAAAAATGTCACACACTGTGATTCAAGGCTGGAAGCATTACCATCGGCCATGATATCAATTCCATCCCAAATGTAATAACATTCTAATTTTAAAAGTATTTACCCCAAATACTGTTGTTATGAGACTCCTCAACCCAAACGGGATTACATTGTCAAGTACGTCAACATCCTTAGCAAACCTGTTGACTACCCTTCCGATCGGGGTGATATCAAAAAATGATGTAGGGGTACGGAGTATGTTGCGGAGAAGATGCAAATGAAGGCCAATCGAGGCATAAATACATCCCAAAGCCAGAGAAATATTGCTCAATATTAAACATAAAACTAAATAAGAAAACCTCAATTAATGTACACATTAGAAACCTGAAATCCTTATAATTTATTTGCATAAAACAGTACTTGCAAGAAGTATAAGATCTTTACCAAAAGAAAAATTATTTAAGTTAAAGAAGTTGCTGTATCTGATAAGAGCCCCAGTTTGCTTGTCCTTTGTTTAGTTATTACAGAAAGTAAGAAATATGTGGTGTAAATTATTAATCTATTGTATTATCTATTATATGTAAATTATTAATGTATTTATTGAAAGATATATACCAAAAATTCCTTTTAAAATTATTTCAACCATTGAAATATTATTTTGAAATTATCAAGATATTAGACATTCTATTTAAGAAATTCAGTAGATGCAGGTAATAAGTTGCAAGTCAAAAATTAGATAAACTAAGTCAAACATTTGCCAGCCTTTTTGGGACTTGTGATTTGTCTTGTTCAGGATTACCACTCCTCAGGCCATTAGCCCTGTTATTTCGTTCAAGAGTTGTTTTGAATTTTAAGAGCTCTAGCTGGACTATTAATATTTTCTTTAGTGATTGATCAGCCTTCTCAGTTTAAATATATTTTTCTTTCCAAAAGATAGCTTGGGGATGAGGCCAGGAAGACAAAAACAAGATTTATTTTCTTCGGCAGAATATGTGGATCTGGATATCCATTATCCACACATGTACCTGTTCATATAGTACAACGATTTTTTTCGAAGTCCTGATGAAGGCGATATATTCTGCTGAAACTCGACAAGAAAATAAATGTTGTTTCTGTCTTCCTGGCCTCATCCCCAATCTACCTTTTGGAAAGAAAAAAATATATCTGGCTGGACTTTCACATCATTTATTGGGCTGAGGTTTTATCCAATGTGTAGCAGATAACTTGGAAGTAAATGGACACTTTCCACACCCTTCCTTTTTCGCCCTCATCATCACTCTTTTCCCCTTCTGTTTACAATCTTATCTCCCTCTTAAACTTTTGCGAATTGTGAACACATTTTTCAGAAAACTATTTGGCCAGGATATATCTGTCTTATTGGGAAGGTCCTACTTTCATTTACTACTCGCCCCTGCCCTTCTCAACCCTCTACCCTTTCCAATCATCTACTCTATTGTCTTTCTAATTTTTCTCCTCTTGTAAGCCAAGTTCCGTTGTATTTTTATATCGACTATGTTCACAGTGATTTTAGAAGATACACTTAAAGTTAAAAAAACTCATATTTTGATGTTTATTTCAAACTCATGCATTTTTATCATTAATTAATTACAACATACAAGTTTTAATGTAAAGAAAATTAAACGACATCAGAAATTCATGAGTTTTTATAAAAATTATTTAATTATGACGGTTGGAAAAAAAATCAACAAATCACGAGAAAATCATTTAGCGATAGATTAAAATCTATCTAACAATTCGTTACATTGGGCTCTTAAAAGCACGGTATTACATTCTATTACATCGCGGACGGCCTTAAGTCTCAAGATGGATTTTGTCTGGTGAAAAAGAATTCCATTCTTCAACTAGAATAGTTTGAAGCTGTTCAATGCTTGTTGAAGAAGGCAAATGATTTCTAACCCATCTCTTTATGATGTCCCATAAATGTTCTATTGGATTTTAGTCAAGCCTTGCTGGCCAATTCATTGTGGTAATCTTTACATCCTCCAATTAATGGTTACAAAAAGTTGTCCCCAATAAATGGAGCGAACGAGACCACAGCTTCCAAAATAACTTCCTCAATGTACCTTGGTGCAGTCAAAGATCCATTCTATGTGATAATCAATTTGGTGAAAGCATGGGAGTTGATTCCACCCCATACCATAACAGATTGTCTTTGAAATGGTCAATGAAGCAAAGCGTTCTTCACACACTTTACCTGCCATATGATTTTCACAAACCAAACCAGCACTCACAAAGAGAAGAGCCCTGCATTGTTCAAATGTACAAGCGAGATGCTGATTTTGGAAATGCCTTTCTACTCTAAGCCTCTCCAGGAGTAAAGAACCTGATGCAGGATATCTAGAGATTAGGTCTATTTTGACAGTCTTCTTATGACTGTTTCAGATCTCACCCTTAAATTCTGACCATTCGGAGTTGACTACCTATCAATGAACCTGTTAAATGACAGTTCTTTAGTGCGGCAAGAGCAATAAAACGAACTTCTCTAGCCATCATACATCCCTGTTGACCACTACCTTCTCTTCAATTCTGGTGGCCTTAAACCACTGTTACTAGCTGTACACCATCGTCAGTGGTAAGCAAGACACACCCAGGATTTGGGCTATGTAACTTATGCAATGCTATATCCACCACTGGCCAAAGCATCAACCCAGGTGAAATCTTGACTTAAACCCATGTTTTAAAATGTTTTTTTTTTTTTTTTTTTTTTTAAATTAACTTACTTAACAGTTGGCCCTGAAAAGGAGAAAATTGAACTGATTGCCTTTATTTTTAATTTAAAGAGTATAAAAGGTAAACAGAATTATTAATATTGTTTACATTTTAAGTTAACTGTTAATTTGTATATCTAGTTATTATCGAAAATAAACAAATAAATACAAGTGACCGGTTTTCTCTTTAACTGTACTTTTTCTACTTGTACTCGTGTATTTGTATACATAGTTGAGCTAAATAAATCAGTATTTATAATCAATTTATTTTGTTTTCTGGTTCTGTTTTAATATAAATAATGAATACTTTTTGAGAAAAAATATTTTTTTAAATTTAAACAACTTTGTTTAATTTTCTCCTTCCATTTACTTACTTCCATTGATAACTATATCTGAGGAATTTACTGTCTAATTTTGAACAGACTTGGTACACAAAAAGAGTAAAAGTAAATCGAAGCAAACGCTCGATGCAAAGTAAATCAGGCCAGAGGGGGAGTGTCATGTCGCAGCCGAGAATATAGGCAGGGGAATGTATTTCAGCTACCTAAAATCAGTCCCAAAAAGGTTAAGGCAAACACTGTAAAAAAGTCTTTATCTCTAAGACCTCCATGTACAACTCTGAACTTATTTCCTATTTCTACGGAACTATTTTTTTAAAGTAATGTATTTGTATCTAAAGTTTCATTTAATGTGAAATATGATGTTTTAAATTAGACTTGTTTAAATAGACTTATAATGAGTTAAATTTTTAAGTGTTTTTAAACTGTGTAATGGATTTAAAAAGAAAATAGTTTGTTTAATGAAACTGTTAATTCAATTTAGAAGTTTAAGAAAGCAATAAATACACCAAAAACATACACCATTAATAAAAATCAATTGTCTCAGAATATGCCTGTTAGTTTGACATGCTCAAGTCAAAATAAGTCATAACATCATGCTTGTAAGTATACAAATAATGTCCACATAATAATACATCTTCTTACACCAGCATACATTTATAATAGAACATTCATTACAATATGATTTAATTTTAATTTTTTTTACTACTAACATTGACATTTATTATTTTATTGTTTTACAAACGAAAAAAAAATATAGAAAAATATAGAAAAACTAATTTAGACTATTAGTTTGTAAATAAAACAATAAATGCTCGTTAATACTTCCAAGCATATTCAATAAAAATATGAATGACAATTTAAACAAAATTTGTCATTCTGTATTGTAGAGATGGAAAGGCTTACATAAGTCTGAAAAGATATACAGTCGGCTCTTGATAATTTGAAGCCCAAGGGACCACAAAATAATTCAAATCATCAGGGGGAAAGAAAGAATTGTTAACAGTTGATACATTTTTAAAAGTTCTTACTGATATCCTTTGTCTAAATGATTTCGAAAGTGACCAGCTCTTAGCATACTTGACAAAACACTGAACACCATACATAACAAACTAGAAAAAAAATCATAGAAACTTTGGGCTGCAAGAAATTAAACAATACGTGGAAATTTAAAGGAACATTACAAAGAAAAAATTTGAATTATAAAGAGGGAAGTGGCTTAATTTTAATATATAGAATGCTCTCTCTTCCCCTGCTATGAAAAATATTTTGTATTAATGAGTGTATCAAAATGTACAGAATTTTTTTGATTTACCAAAGACCTACTGAGGAGTTCATATTAATCAAGAAATTTGAATTATCAAGTTTCGAATTAACAAGAGTCGACTATATACAAGTAAACATGTAATAGAAGCAATTGTTTCAAGGTAGATGCATAGATGCAATCATTCTTTATATCAGTCCAAACAATGAAAAAGAGCCACGATGCAGTACATTCTTATTAAATAAGATGTCGAACCAATTGAAGTCGTACTTACTCTGACCGAAGCCTAACACGCCGTACACTTCTAAATACATGTCTCTTTTACTCGTGTCTTGAGTGCCGTTGACGACGATGGTTTTGTCACTCGACCAGATTGAGAGCCAGAAGCTCGAACCAATGGAAAACCCTTGGAATATAATGTTGAGGATTATCGTCGCCGACGTAAGGAACGGCCCGATCGACTTGAGATAGTGCTTATACACCTCCCATTTAACCTGTCATTTTAAATTTGATGTAACGACCTGTAGTGAATTTTTTAAAGTGCATTACTTACTCCTCCAATTTCTGCCTTTTCATCCTCTATCAGCTTGTCGGTGGCTTTACTGGGATCGACGATGTTATTGCTACCTGTTGATGATTTCCGCCTACAAATATAACTTCTTTAATAGAAATTAAGGATTTTTTAATTATTTCTAGAGTTATTTTACCTTGTTAAAGAATTGACAGAGCTTGTCTCGCTGCTTGATGATTTCTGCCGGGAAATCTGTTTCTGGACTTCAGGATTTCCTTCCAACAGCTGTTTTTTAATGTCCTCATCAATTTCTACGAAATTATATAAACTTTTTAACATGGCATCTTATTATTTTATTTTTAATAAATTACCTTCTTCGTTATCAATTTCCTGCAGGTGAGTCGTCAAAAACTCAGCAAAAGCGCCCTTTTTATTCAAAAGCTCTTTATATGTTCCCATTTCAGATATAGAGCCATCCTTGAGTACAATTATAAAATCGACCTCAGGTAAAAATGTAATGCTATGTGTGACAAACAGCCTAGTCTAAAGATAAAATCGTTCATTATAACTTTGTTAAAAATATAAACAAACAAATAAATTACTTTATTATGAAGTATTCCTTTTGGTCCGATGACACTATCAAAAATATGCTTTCCAACATGACTGTCTACGGCACTTAAAGGATCATCGAGAAAGTAAACATCAGAATCATAGTAGACAGCCCGAGCTAAGCTAACTCTTTGTTTTTGTCCTCCGCTCAAATTAATACCCTAGTAAAAAGAAAATTATATTAAAACAAAAGTTAGAAACGTTTTTCACCATTTTATAAAATGTTTGTTTTGCAACAGAAAAAAACTGCTTTTTATTATAATGATTTATATTCTATATTTATTTATACTCAATATTTTACAAATTTTAATTAACAAATTATAAAAGTTATCGACATGTTATCAGTTTACAAATTCTTAATTTTGTCATTACCGATTATTTTTTTTTTTTTATTCTCACCAGATTTGGTCGGTCAGACATGTTTCGGCATTTTGCCATCTTAAATGTGTCTGTCTAACCGGTGAGAATATACAGACTCAACTGCTGACATGTACCTGATGACCAACCTAGCAAGGATAGGCAGACCAAAATATCGGTAACGACCAAATTTCAGGTTTGACACCCTGTAGATAACAGAATCTCACAAACTCTCAATTTTAAAAATCCTGATGTTAAAAGAAAAAAATATTGTTTTATCTAATTGTTTTCAAAAAAATAATTGTAAATCGAATTGTTAAATGGTTTCACTATCGACATCGGTTGGTCTGGCAAACAAAATAAACAAAAATCAAGAGACCAAGATGCTCAGAGGTCTCACACAACTTAAAAACAAACAAATATAATATTATCATTATTACAATTAATTAAGATTTTTAGTTGAGATAAAAAAGTCAATGGCACGTGCGGGATTCGAACCCACGATCTTCGGCTAGATACGCCGCTGGCCGCTGCTCTACCACTTGAGCTATTGTCACCTCGATCCACTTGGATACCAACTTCCTATCTCAACCCCACCTTTTGAATTTTCCCTCCTTTTTGCCATTTTTCAAATGTCGTGTAATCGCCGAGAATCCAATGCGATAACACAAGATTTGAAAAATGGCAAAAAAGGGGGAAAATTCAAAAGGTGGGGTTGAGATGGGAAGTTAGTCTCTAGTAGAGATCTCACACAACTTAAAAACAAACAAATATAATATTATCATTATTACAATTAATTAAGATTTTTAGTTGAGATAAAAAAGTCAATGGCACGAGCGGGATTCGAACCCACGATCTTCGGCTAGATTTATCGCATTGGATTCTCGGCGATTACACGACATTTGAAAAATGGCAAAAAGGAGGGAAAATTCAAAAGGTGGGGTTGAGATAGGAAGGCGATGTCCAAGTGGATCGAGGTGACGATAGCTCAAGTGGTAGAGCAGCGGCGTATCTAGCCGAAGATCGTGGGTTCGAATCCCGCTCGTGCCATTGACGTTTTTATCTCAACTAAAAACCTTAATTAATTGTAATATATTAATTGGTCAAGCAGACCACGAAATTAGTGAATTATCATTATTATTATCCCACCCAAATATTATTATTTATCTAAAAGACTTACTCCCAGATTTGACTCTCAAAACTTAATTCCTAACAATTAATTTAGATTTCGACCTCTCCATTCAAGCACTGCTACTCCAAGCACAATATCCTCCGTTCTAGAAAACAAACGCTGGACTTTGTGGAAGTATTCGACTAAATGTGGCACACCGGCCTTCTAAAACGCATTCTCCCTCATACCTACTATCTCATCCAGAAGTCCTTTTTCTAGGATCAATGGTTTAAAGTGAGAATCGGCACTGATTTTTCATCACGACAATCAAAGCTGCGTTCCACAAGGAAGAAACCTAAGCCTACTCCTCTTCACCATCAACACTGCTGATATAGTTTGGGGAAGTCTCCATGGTTTTGGGGGTGTGGTCTTTAATAAGAATTGTACCTTTGAGGATCATTATTCATACATGGGTACACAGAAACATGGGTTTCACTAAACTTATGACGTTTGACTTTACAAGTGTTTATGTAAAAAAAAATATTGTATCAGTCTTTGGTTAGGATAATTCTTGAATTCAGTGATTTAATTTTATCTCCTTATTAAAAAACCCATTCAAAAGTTACCAAATATCGAATGTTTAAATCTGGCCTTAACTTCACAACATATTCTGTGACCCTAGACGTATTGAATATTGACTCGCTGTCACTCATCACTGTGCTGCTTTTTTCGCTATTTGGATTAAATTGTTTTATTGATGCTCTAGAAATTCTATCACAACTCAGTTTACGGATGCCTAGCCAGAGTGTGCGAGTGACTGAACTGTTTTGCATTTCCTCTTTCAGAACCAATCTCTCAACCACAAAATGTGTTTATAGAATTGCCCATTCTTTGAACACGTCATGCATTGATCTATTTAACAGTCAGATGGCCTTTAAAAGAAAGATTTTTTAGTTTTTAAGGAATAATATGGATGTTACCTTGAGCTGCAATGAATTTTGATTTTTCTTATTTCTAAACTGCTCAAAAATGAATATTGCCAATTTTGTAGTATTTACTTTCCCTAGCATTTTTATTTGATTTTTATTATAAATTGCATTAAAATGTATTATAAATGATTTTGTTTTTTACTGAAGAAAAATTTAATTAAGGGATTTTGAAAAATAATAAAATTAAAGGTTTTAACTCCATAATTAATTGGACACAATAAATTATTTTTTTTTTAACAATTAATACTGAGTCCTCTGTTAGCCAAAACCTCTGTGCACCTGTTAGGCATACTGTTATGAAGGTTGTCACTAATTTCGTAAGGAATTTCACTCCATAGATGTTGCAACACCACACTCAGTTGTTGCAGGTCAACTGGCTGCGGATGGCGATCAAGAAGCCTTTTCTGCAACGCCTCCCACATGACCCCAAGGATTAACATTAGCTTGTTTTTGCTTATATTTTCTATTTTGTTTTATCCAACTAGCAAGAATATATCGGTTAATTTAATTAAAATTAATAGAATAAGAATAAATTGCATACATCCCTATTCATTTTTGAGCAGCTGATTTGTTTGTTGTTATCGTATTTGTTTATTTTTTATATACTGTTTTACCTAATGTATTATTATTACTATTATTATATTCTGACTGTTCTATTTTGGGGGACACTTCCCTGTTTTTACTATGTAATAAATGAATAAATGAAAGGATGTTTAGTGACTGGGAGTTTTGTGGCCCTGAAAAGGGCCGGAGTTGTGTAGAGATGCCATGATGATGATGATATAGGGCCGAAACCGTGTGAGTGGCACCATTGGTTGTGGTGTGTGACAGAGTAAACCGTTCACTGAGGTCCGGGGGGCCGTGAGTCGGTTGACTCCACAGAGGCCGAAGGTACTGGAGTCCAGCAATTAGTCGAGAGCAGCGTTTTAGCGTTTATAGCCAAGTCGGCTGTTTAGAAGGCGAGATCAGGCTAATGCTCTGAGTACTCTTGCTGTCGTTGACGGTGTTCCATTAGTGATAGCTCATCGGGCTGACGAGTTTGGTGTAGTTGAGTATTAGTGATGTTCGAGACCTCATCAGCTGACGAGTATGCTTCCAGCGGGGTATTGCCCCTGCTTATATATGGAAGAGCTCTACTCTGATTGGATGAAGAGTGGAGGGCGAGAATATTCCATAAATCGTAGTGGCATCAAGCGGTATTGTGGAAACTAATTATTGGCCACTAGAGATGAATTCTTATCCTATAACACAATTCACAACCTAGAGAATGACACCACAACCTTATCAACACTTCAATCCTATCCTAACCACAGAAGCAATCCAACAACACCTGAACCTCATAATCGACCGGTGCAATCAGTGGTGGATCAGGTTGAATGAGCAAAAAAGCCAACAAGGTACTCAAACATCAAACCTGCCCACTAGTGTGCATAAACAACAAGGTAAGATTACCAAGTCCTCAACCATGGGCTCTAGTTAGCAGACTTACATGATATCCACATACAAGATTAAAATAACAAGAACTTAACAAAGATATGGACTACTCAGATGCCAACTGGGACCAAAATCAACACTAAATATACGTAACAGACTAACCACTTACAAAACACTCATTAGATCGATTTGGACTTATGGAGTAGAACTGTGGCGCTTAGCCAAATTCTCCAACATCCAACAAATTCAACCCTTTCCATCTAAAGTTCTTCATCTTACCCTCATTACTCCCTTCTATGTCACTAATCGAATGATCCATAAGATCTGGAAATCTTATTTGTAAAGGATCTGATTAAAGGTCTTTGCCCACTAGAATGTACCATACTAGGACCGTGTCAGGCACAAAATAAAACACTCCGGTCACTACTATGTCCACTGCAACGGATGAACCGCGTTCTATACCCATATGTAACGCGTATATAAAAACGTTTCATAGCCGTCCTGCTTCAGTCACTGTCGTACATTTCTTTTTTAAAAACACGTCGTTTGTGAACTTTTGTTTTCTTGTGTGGAGTGAATTTGTTAAATAAAGTATGGTTATTAGAAAATTATCTATACGAGAATTGGCCTTGATTGCCATTATTTTGGATGAGGAAGAGGAAAAAAAACACTAGATGTTGTAAATTGTATAAAAAACTGTACGTAATTTTTTTTTTTTTTTTACCTAGGTCATATGTTTTGCCAACGTCACCAGGTAGTTATATTCAGCCTTAGGAGAAACATTTTGGATTTGGGAAACTGAGCCTGACTATTCAAATATTTAATTTCAAAATCCAATTTTAAAGTCAAATGGGAAATTTTATCTGTGTTTTAGTTAACTCCAATTCTTTAAAACGGACCAAATATGATGTATGATTAACATTTTTAATAAAAAAAATAAAAATAAAAAAATTACGAACATATTCTATTAGTTGTTCATCCTCCATTTTTATTAAGACCCAAACACTCACAATACAATAGAACACAAACACAGATCTCTTCGTCAAATGCAAAGAACTTGTGTGGAACCGAACAGCAACACAGTAGGCCAATGCGCACAACGGATCGATGCCTGCAAAATATTCTCAGCAGCCGATTTTTGACTGAACCGTGCACGGCATGGTACAGTGTTGGCCGGTGACGGAACGGTGTAGTGGGCATTTTCTAATACTAAATGATGTAAAGAATATTTATTTGCATGTGTCGGTACAATTACAGTCCTAGTATGATACGTTCTGGTGGGCAAAGACCTTTAAACATGCATCTTCAATTTTCACTCTAAACTAATCTTTCACCCTAACCCATTATCCTAAATTCTTTCAACGTCTCCACTTTTATAATCCTCCATGCTATTTAAACGATGGCCTCATGACCTTCCATCTTAATCCACCCAATTAAATAAAAAAGATTTCCAGTGTCTCCTGTTCTGACAGATTTGAATGTAACTTACTATTTGCATATTTTTAAACAGAGAGCAAAAAATAAAATTGAATACATAAAAAACAATATTACTCAAGTTCTGTAAAAATAGAATAAACAAAAATGTGCAGTCGTTACCAAACAGTAACATAATTTATGAACATAAATTCCAATTCTGGTCTATCTGTACTTGATTTTGTCTGTTAGGCAAGTTTGGGCAAATTGCCATCTACAGTGGTTGGTGTTATTTTGTTCCAATTAGCACATTTGTAAAGAGTCAACAGTGTCAGCATTATTTCATCTAAAGGCTTTTTTGACAGATGTGTCCCAGCTGGCAAAATCAGTCCCATCACCGAAGGTGGCAAAATGTTGTAACGTTTCATACAAAAATAGGTAGACCTCAACACAATAGTGTAATTTTACTGAATCTAAATCATCAATGATAGGCACAATGTTCAATAAAAATAACTGATTCTCAGTTCTTAGAGTATGTCGTATGTCTTAGAATGTGCTAAAAAATCCTTTTGTAAAAAACCTTTGAATTGATTGATAAAATAATTTCTTACCTTTTCACCAATTTCAGTCTTGTCACCACCAGGCAACATTTCAAAGTCTGGCTTCAGTGCACAAGCCTCAACTACTTTATGATATAGCTTGTTGTTAAGGGGTTTACCAAATAATATGTTATCTTGAAGCGTGGCATTTTGAATCCAAGCGATTTGCGATACATATGCAAAAGTGCCCTGAAACAAAAAAATAACACCGTTAGGCATTTTCTTGAAGAGACGAGCCACCATTTTACAATATGTACCTTTGTATTAACTCTGCCGCTTATTTTTTCCATTTCACCGAGGAAAGCCGAGAGAAGCGATGATTTTCCCGAACCCACCGCCCCGACAACGGCGACGAGTGACTTGGGTTTGATCTTGATGTTGATGTTTTTCAAAATTGCAGGATCATCCGCTCCCCACTTGAACGAACCGTCTTCCATGAGTAAAGGTTCCTCTGTTAACAAATTAAATTTTAAAATTTAAGAATGAAAAATTAAAAGCAAACAATGACTTCAATTAACCCATTCTAGAACGAGCCAATATACCTTTCCCCATACATGGACATTGTTCCAGAACAATGCACTGCTTCTCAACAAGACCCCCATATCTTGTTGTAGGGTATTAGCTTTTTATTTTTGTCCCCCCCCCCAAATGAGTGGATTTGACAGGCTTTTTGTATCTTTTTCAATTTGAACAAATTTTGGACTTTTTTAAAGATTTTTTTTACCCATATAGTTGTTTTTTATTATATTATTTGATTTAATTATTTTTCTAAAATAATACTTTTTATTTTAAGGTAAGTACAGCACCTCAAAGGCATTTCTTTGTTCATTTCTTTGGCCTTTTGTTCCTTCATGGTTTTTTGTTTGGTATATTTTTAAATTAATCGTGAATAACTATCAAATATGTATTTTGTAAATAATTTATAAATAATTGTTAATAAGCAGTAAATGTGGAAATAATTTCTGAATTTAATAAACTAAATAACTGTAAAATTTTTTTAACACACATTCAGATTTTATTCTAATGTTACGTTTTAAAAACATATTTTATTTGCAGGTAAGTGGCTACTCAGATTACTAATTTTATCAGGTGCTTTTACAGCTCAAATGCAACAAAAAAGTCGTATGACCCATGGTCTGATTCTCAACCCTTTCGCAGATATTCAACATTTCGTTTTTAACTATCTATGGTTTTCGTCATAAATCTACTTGTAGCTCTTGAACTATTTATTTTTTGGGAAATCCAAAATAAGCGTTGAAATCTGCATTAAAATACCTTTAAAAAGGCACCTTTCTAATACTTTCAATTTAATATTTTTGTTAAAAAAAAACAAAAAAAACTGCTAAATTTAAAATTGTAAAATGAAACTAAATTTGCTACCTCATTGGAAAAATTCTCATTAGAGCTTGCCAAATTTCATAAAAACTTGTCAGTTTAACATGCTTTCTAGCGGTATACCCTTTTCTTTAATTACATCAAACCAAAATGAAGAAATTTTATTTTCAATGGAAAAAGCGGTAATGGTGTGAAAAAGTGGGGATGTGGTTACTTTACTAAACTAAATATTCAATTAAACTTTTATCCCGGTCAAAATTTATTTCCCAACTTTAACTTAACAAAAAAGCATAAAAATAAAGAAAAATTAAACAAATCACAAAAAAAGACAATAAACATAGTGAACAACAAAAGTGGAAAAATTGGACAAAACACATATACACACAATTTTTTTTTTGGCGTTATGATCTGTGCATATTAGCCATGGCGACAATTCTTATATATGTGTTCAAATTGGGGGGGTTATCGTGAAAAAAGGGCCAGGGGCGACGGTGGGAATCGAACCCACGACCGCGGCGTGAGAGTCTCTCATGCTAACCACTCGGCTACCGCAGTCCCCCCAAAAATTATAAATAAAATAGCAAAAAGTTGCAAAAACGGAAATCGCTTGTTTAATATATGTGGTGATTAGTGACCAGAAAACAAAGGCTTTGAGCCTTAAGGTGATCCCAATAAAGATCAAAACGTTGGCACGATAAAGAAAATGTTTTTCTAAAACCGTCACACACCAGACCACATCTCACGATTTCTGAATAGTTTTTCATTATATTTTTAAATTTAAAATTTTCACTAAAAAATATAAATGTTTTAAACAAAAAATTGATTTAAAATAGCATGTTGCCAATTAATTATTTATTAATAACGCATTGCAATTATTGATTCATGTCAAGAAATTGCTGATTGCAATTGTTATGTAGCTTATAGGAATAAAATATCTAATTTGAAAAGAATTTCAAATAGCTTTAACTTAATAAAAAAGAAAAATTCAAAAATACAACAGCAGACATCATGAATAACCAAATTACATTGAATTTTTCATTTTGTGTTCAAAAATCAAATTCAGGGCCTCAGATACTTCCTCCCGATTCTCATATCGGATGGCTTCCTACATGCTCTCTGTATGGAATTGCAAACTTTACTAAGTGGGACACATCAGGTAACGTTTTTCTACCAACTGGAATCAACATCCATCAACCCCACACCTGTGGCCTATTCTTAATCGGATGAGGATTCTTTTTCAAAATGAATTCTGTTATAAAATTAATTTCTCAAGGGGGATCAGTTTTTCACTTTCATCATTCATTAATCAATATAATGTATATATTAATATATATATTTAAATATATATTGCATGTACGAATGTAAAAATTAATTAAAAATGTTCAATATAAATATATTACAAATCCAAGACATTGGGTGCTTAATTTTAATTGCGTTACCAGGTAGTGCATCGGTTGAGTTATGTTAGGAATGGTCGGGGTTTTATTAACAGGCTTCAATAATCAATATGCTGATCATACATACCAGGTTTGTCATCGTGAGTGATGGAATCAGGATCAAGTTCTTCGCTGTTCATAAACTTGTTAATACGCTTGACTGAAACACTTGCCTATAATAAAAAGATATAAACAATAACTAAAATTTAAATTTAAGATATTTGTAATTTCACTCATAAATTGTGATTACTTAAACTTGTTATTTGTTAAATATTACACATATTTTAATTGGATTAGCATTAGCATCATGCTGTCATGCATTTTCTTGCTTTTATTTTAAGTTGTTACGTGTTTATATTAATATATAAAATTACATTTATGTCTAAATGTGAAATGCATATTAAAATTAATACAAGTTAAATTGTTAAGTGCCCATAAATATAAATTGCATTATATAATTTTTTTTGCTGTTTGTAAGTTGCTTACATTTATCAAATATGTAACCGTGCATAATAATTATCCTAGATGATATCAATTCTAATGCAACATTGCTGGTAGTTTCATATTAATAAAAATAGGTATACTTACTTGAATAGCATTGCTGATCATCATTGGAAGCATCGATAGCGGAAATCTTAAAATATTGAAGAGCGAAAGTGAAACGAATGCTTTTTTAGAGTCCAAGATGTTTTCATCCGAGAGGACGAAAACAGCGAATGTGACTAATGATACCTGCAAACCACCTCCACCGTCAAACAAGCTGATCAAGGTCAAGAATAAACAAAAGTGCAAAAATAATTTGGAAAGGATCTGAATTGCTCGTCTTCAGATTTTCACCAGACATGCTAAAAAGCAAGTTTTTGAGTTTGTTTTTATGTTAGTTGCTGCCTCTGTTCCTTCGCTTTACACTTTACGCTTTTACCATTTCTCACCTCGACACAGGCGACAAGAACCATCGGTAGCATAGTGAGTGGAATTCGCATTATATTGAAAAGGGCAAGTGCAACAAAGGCTTTTGAGGCATCTAAAATGTTGTTGTCATCACTGATGATGTACACTGTGAAGGTCATTGCTGACACCTGTTCTCAGTACGCATTTGTAAAAATGTTATTTCAAAATTTAACTTTTAAGATAGTTATTAATATTTAAATTCCAAATAAAATATAAAATCTATGCACAAAACACGAATTCACAATAAATAAATATATGTATTTTTTAATCCTGAAAAATTATTAGAAGAATGTCAGATCAGAAATAATATGATTGAAGATACTTGTCATATTTTTTAAAGATACAAATACAAAATCATCTTATTTTGAAAAATGCAAAAAGAAATTAAAGCAATTTTTTTTAGATAAGATTTAAAAAAAAATACAAATAAAAAAGGTTTTAAACGATTTTTAACACAATAATTAATTAGAAAATTTCTAATTAATTTAAAAAATATAATATATAAAAATAAAACAAACAAAAGATTCATTGAAATATAAAAATTAAGAATTTTTACCAAGAATGGGGCGCAGGCCCAAATGAACGAGGTAGTAGCATTAAAATATGCTGCTTGTTTCAGTACTTTAACTTCTTTCTCTCGAATCCTTAAAACTTGTTTTTCAAAACTCGGTTCCCAAGCGTATAATTTAAGAACCTGAAATTTTCAAATTTTACAATATTTGCAAATAATTACATCAAATGTTGAGCATACCTTTATTCCAGACAGAATTTCGTTCATCATCTTAACCCTTTCGTCTTTATTCTTCATCTGTTTGATTTGAAGCGATTTAACTCTGTTTGCTATAAATCCATTTACCGGTATCATGATTATCATCACTGCCAAACCAGCAAGTACCGATGGACCTGAAATAAGAAAATTATGTTTTTTAAAGCCGTTTTATTTAATTAATAGTACAATAAATTAACCAAGAGTTTCCCAGAGAAAATAAAGTGCAAGCGCAATCTGCAAAGGCGCCGACCAGATCATGTTCAAGTATGTAATCAAATCCATGAAACGTTGAGCATCAACAGACATTAGATTTACAATTTCTCCGACTGTTGACTCTTTCCTTGCCGAATTTGACAACCTCAGTGCCTGGAAAATTTTTAAAAATTAAGTATCTGGTAACAGCAATTGCAATTGGAGAAAAACAATATACATACTTTTCTATAAATGGCAGATATAAGTGCGGTTCTTATCCTTAGACCGATGAGCATCATTTTTTTGAAATATTGAGACAGCAATAGGGTCTGCAATGTTGCTGTCAGCAGTAAGGCAGTGGCATACAGATAACCCCTCCACTGAGGCTCGTCTACTTCAACGAAAGTAATCAGCAACCTAAAAATTTTTTTAAAAAAACAGCACATTTAACTTATTATTTTTAAGTTTAAATTTGATATTGTACTTTAAGATTTGAGGGCTGATGAATGAAAGCAGATCCTGTCCAAGCTTTAAAAGGGCTCCAAAGAAAAATGTGGGTCCGAAGCATTTGCACAGACAAGGGAGAATTGATGAATGCTTCGGCTGAGTTTTTTCAATACCGACAACTTCAACAGTGTTGTTCGCTTTTTCAAAAGCAGCAGATTTATGAACCTCAGCTAATCTGAAAACAAAGCATCAGAAACAAAGTCAAGTGAGAAACTTTTATTAAATAAGTATAAAATTTTATCTTTTATCTTTCAGTTTACAAATAAAAATTTTAATTTCTTTGGCTTACTTGGCATTCTTTTGAACAGAAGCGTTCCAGTATTTGTCAAATTTGGGGACAACCTCGCTTGCCATGTCTTCAAAATTCATGCTCCAAAGATCACTATTTTCCAGCGGCTTTCTGAAACCGAGGAAGGCGAAGCTGTCGAACCAACCAAAAATGAGCTTTGAAGCAAATGACGCACTATACTCTGGACAGGGTTTCTGTAAAATTTAATTAATTTTTTAATTTTGTACTTTTTGAAATATTAAACTGCTCTTACATCCACAACTGGATATTCACTGTACTTTGGCTCGGCATCGACAAAAAAGTTAAGAATGAATGACGCAAATACAAAAGTAAAATAAACGGCATAAGTAATGTCGATAAGAATATAATCATCCTGAAAATAATTTGTAATTAATTTAGCATTTGAGTTTCATTTTTATTTCAACTTTTACCTTCGTAACAAATTTTCTAATAACTGTACTGAGCTGTGGGAGGCCTAAAATAACTAAAAGAGTCCACATTAAAAACACCAGGCCAGACGTCCTGATGCCTTTTATCCTGTGAGTTACAACTAAGGTGATAGAAAATATCTAAAAAAACAAAAAAAATTATAAATTCATCCCTTCCTAGTAATAATGAATAAAACATACTAAAAAATTAACTTACCATCAAAATTATTTTGATTAAGGACGTGTACAAGTCCACAGGAAAGACAAGGCCGTCATCAGTTTTGAGAAGAATGTAAATAACATCTATGACACCTACTAAAATTATGCAGGAACAAAGTACCTAAATTTTATTTTTATAAAAATCAACTTTTGCCCATATTATAAATTCATAAAGTATGTATAACTTAAAAAAATTACTATTTTTGTTATGTTGAGCTTGTTCCATGGTATGTTCCCAGTTTTGCTGGTGATAATTTCATAAATATCAAACGCAGCAAAAATGATGACAAATAAAAAAGGCACCCAGACTGCTAAGGTTTTTTCAAAGCATAGAGTTAAATTTGGTGAATCCGTGTTCCATGTTACATTGACATCCTGAAGAATTTTTTTTTTAAATAAATAAAAAATTGCATAAAAATACTACATTAATTATAATTAAAATCAATCTATATGAATTATTATATTAACAATTTTGCCAAGTATCAACTCATTTCTTATATTTTCTTCTTCTTTAATTTGCACTATTTCAAAGAGGAAATGAAATAACGTTTTATAATTGTTTGTCCTTAGATAATTTATTTTTTCAAAAAATTTTCATATCATTTTTCATCTGGTTTAAATCAAAGCAAAAAAGATAAATTTAACTATCTGAGAGCAAACAACCTTATGAAACGATAACCATTTTAGGTTTGTGTTATTATTATTTAAATGTGCAATAAAAACTAATTTAGTTATATATTTTTAAAAATAATTTTGTTTTTTACGTACATATTCAAATTTTTGGAAATAGAATTATATCTTTCTCCTGCTAAAAAAATGTATAAAATAAAAATGCAATTTTTTAAATTATTAAGTAATTATACAAGCATAATTATATTTATGTAATTGGAAAATTGAAAAAGAGATAAATTAAAAATTTAAAACTTTATTTGAAATAATTTAATTTTTAAATTTTCAAAAGTAATATTACGTCAATCTCGTGATAAAATATTTTTCAACCATCTAAAAGAATGCACCACACCATATCTCCATTCCAATTTAAGGCTGCAATTACATTTGGACAAAGAGGAATTTAGTTTTTGCTATTTCGTTCTAATCGAAACGAGAACGTTCTCTCTCAGAATCTCATGCCACGGTCGTGGGTTCGATTCCCACCGTCGCCTCTGGCCCTTTTTTCTCGATAACCCCCAATTTGAACAACATATATAAGAATTCGTCATGGCTAATATGCAAAGATCATAAGGCCAATTTAAAAAAATAAATAAATAAATAAAAAAAAATAAAATAAAATAAAAAATATAAAAAAAACGTTCTCTCTCTCTCCTTGCCAAGTCCAAATTTTTTTTAAGTATGTGGTGTTTAGTGACCGTTAGTTAATGATTATTTGGAGATCGTGAGATGAGGTCTGGTGTGACGTAAGTTTTAAAAAACATTTTCTTTATCGTGCCAACGTTTCGATCTTTATTGAGATAATCTTCAGGGCTCAAAGGGTTTGTTTTTGTGTAGATGTGTCATTCTTGTGTGTCACAGAAAACCTACGTCACATAGACCGCATCTCACAATCTCCAAATAATCATTTTTGTTAAGCACATCCATAAATTTTTATTTCACTTTATCCCCTGTCCTTCCACCAATATCCCCAATATTCAACTTTAGGAAAATGTTTAGTGTAGTATTGCTATCGCACAGAATCAAAAGTAAATTTTGCATGAGTGTATGTATTTCCATTATTTATTTAACCTTTTAAAGCATTTACTTTGAATTTTGAAATGGCATCCTTAATATTTGAAAATTTTTCACTATAGTCATTAGTTTCTAACCAGGAAAATAAAACAGTATAGTAGAGAGTTGGCCATTTTCTATTTTCAAAATTATTAATTAATGTTAAAATAAACATAAATGAGTAAAAGACTTATAAACTAAAGTGGCAAGGGTGCCAAACCCAGTCGAATGCTTTTGTAATGTCCAGAAATACGGCTGAGCAATATTGTTGTTTTCTAGAGCCTAAAAAATGTTGTCGACTATTCTGAAGCACTGCTGAACAGTAGAATGGAGGGATCAGAATTCAATCTGATGGTTTGGAATTAAGTTTTCAATGTCGAATATGGGAATTAAGTCTTTTAAGGAGAAGACTTTCAAAGCTTTTTGATAAAATATGAAGGAAGCATATTGACTCAAAAATAAAACAATCTATAAAGGAATAAAATAGGACACCAACAAAATAAAGAATAACTAAAATAATGTGAATGAAACAAGACAAGTATGATCATCTCTGTATTTAAAGGTAAACAACAAACCGTTTCTACTTTTCAAACAGTGTAAAAACTAAATATTGCACTTTAAAGTTGATCTGAGTCCACTGTGGGATGTCTGTCATTTTATCAACCAAAATACAATAACTTCAGGGATGGTAATTTTAATAATCAATTTAAAACCAAAATAAAACGTGTTTTTGGCACAGGATGCTGAAATGTCTTAACACAAAGTAATCATCTTTAATCCACCTCCTATTGGTGAAGTAAAAGTAAAACAAATAATTCATAATTAGATAAATTAAGAAGATAGAAAGGAGAGTAACTTTCTGTTGATTCTTGTTTTCATTTTTCATTATGATTTTTACAACTGTGATTTTTAAGCAAATGGGATAACAAAACAGTGACAATCGAGCATAATTCACTTGATAGAAGTCACCCAAAAGTGACACTCCCTCACATTGAGTCAATCAATCTCTCAACAGATCTCTCGGCCAAAACTGCTTCAAACTAAACGTTGGATTTCCAGGAATGTTAGGACAAGAAAGGTGTTTGACAAATGGATTGCGCTGATCGTTTACATTTTTGTGGAAATTTTTGTACTGAGATTTAATTATATCAATTACAAATGGGATTTGGAAGTCATTTTGAAACTTGAGATAGTTTGGTATTTTTCTTGGATTGGATTTTGTAAGAATTCAATTTTTTCGTTGAACCCCAAACTTCAATTCCATATGTCATATCAGCAACGGAGGGTCTTTTAAATGGTGAGTTTGTTAGTAAGGTGTAAGTTACATTTAAGGCCAAGTAATCCAAGTTGTAGTCTGTAACATCAGTTGTTGATTCAAGTCTAAAACTTTAAAATACAATTTTATTTATAGAATAAATCAAACTTAAGCTATCCTCATGTGCCACAAAGATACATGGTGACTCCTTTAAGCCATTGCTTTGCAACTTACTTGACAGAAGAGGAAAAGTACAAAAAATATAGATATGCTTCTAAATCGCGATGAACTTGCTTGACAATTTGAAATTTGTTTGTATGTAAAAAGTCAAATAGGAATTTATATCTATAGATTTTAAGATGAACTACAAATCATTTACCCTTGTCAAACAAGAGTTGAATATAATTACTGTTCCACAAATTAACCCATGATTAGTTGATAGGCGATTGAAGGTCAACAGTCTTGTCAATTAGAACACAATTATTTTATACCAACGAAGTATAAAACTGTAAAATGTGCATAATATTAACCCAAATTAGGCTAACTTCACCAACAAAAAGTTATCTAATGATTCTTTGAAGTCATTTTTTTTCAGCAGAAGCTTTGAAAAAAAGAGGGAAATGTGAAAACAACAAAGGTGTGCTCTTCGTAATTAATAAAATTACTAGTATTCATATTTCTAGCAAAAAGAGTAAATTGTAAATATGTAGAAAACAAAAATACTGTATTGATAGAGTAATCAAAGGAAAGTTAGACATTTCTCTGACTGAAAATTTATTATTGGGACAAATTGGAAATTGAATCTACAACTGCAGGGTCTATGAGCTAAGAGTGCAATCATCTACTGAGGTCCCCATGTAAAATGGACTTTTATACGGAACAATGATCAAATAAATAATCATAAGTTACATAATCACACATGGAGGACATTAATTTGTGACGGTATCTTAGGGCAGATAGAAACAAATATAATATAAATAAATAGCATTGTAAAACTCCATGGCCATTCATCATAAATAGTACAAACGTATAGTCATTGCAAAATACAAAAACAAAGAAAATGTTTTTTGAATTTCTAGTTATTTCCAATCATCCACATCAAATTATGTAATCACACTTTACAGGTTTATTATCGAATTATTTTGCAACATTGGATCAGCAGACTGAGAAACAAATATAATTAAGTAAAAGCCCCTCCCCATCACCAAAAAATTAAAACTACTGGCTACTGTTACTATAAATTCTGTACTTATATTATTTTCAACCAAGAAAAACAAGTACAAACCTATAAAGTTAACAACATTAATTGATAAAGTTATTATTGACTTTTTTCGAAAGAGAAATCTCTTGTGATATTAGCTTTAATAGTTTTTTTTTATAGTTTTTACTTTTTGTTCAAATCAAGGCTTTATTTTTTACTTTTGATAGGATGTTTGAGAACTTCAATTCTCTTACTCCTCTTTTTTTACATACATTTCAGACCTATTATTAATTTTATCTATATCCTAGTGTTATGATCTCATACAGTGATTATGTAAATTTTGCTTATGAAGATTCACTTGAACAAACTGATATTCTAAAAATAAAGAAGTTTTATTTTTCTGCACAATCATAAAGTCCACATCTTTTTTTAAAGAGTACGTTTTGCTAATTTGCCTTTAACAGTTTGTATCCAATCAAAAATAATATTTATGTATTTTTAAAGAGTGTTGAAAGCATATATTTGCGCACATTATCTTGCTGATTAATGTCAGACAAAAATTGATTTTATTGTTCCTGTGGTACAGATGGCGTCAAAAACACATGAAGGAAGTCCATTGATTGTCTTGTAATAATATTTGGTCCGTTTTAAAGGAACAGAGATAAATAAAACACAGATAAAAATCTCACAATTGTGTTTACAATTATATTTTGTAAATAAATCTTTGAATAGTTAATATATTCTTTGTTGGTTTCCTCTAAGGCTTCTTTCTAACATTCTGGTGGTTTGATTTTTTTAAGTTGTACCATTTTTAAGTTTCAAATTTGTTTGTGTGGTGGTTTTAAGTGAAACAGATTCGGCTAAAATCATAGCATTGTTGAAAGATGGAAGAAGTCAAATATATGTGGTCAATGAGCTTAACATTCCCAGAACAACAGAAGGGTCTTCCATCGTTACAAAGATGATTGCTCAAAAAGGCATGGATGAGGTCGCCATCAGGACACATCTCAAAGAGATGATCGTTTTATTGTTTAGAATGTACTCTGTAATCTACATTCTACCAACGTTGAGATCAAACAACACGTTAGAAATGTTAATGTTTACGCACTGTAACATACAAACTTCGGATACTGGAATATGTGCGAGAAGAAGGCAAACAACAGCTCGGTTAAGTTTCACAGGAAATCTCATCAATTGGTCTGAACAAGATTTGACTAAAATATTGTTTTCGGATGAGTCAAGGTTTGGTTTAGGTCTTCTGACGGCCGAGAGAGAAGTTTGAAGAATCACTGTAGAGTGATATATACCCAGAACATTTTCACTCCGGAGAAGCTATGGTTTGGGCAGCCATTTCTATGGACGGTCGCTATGGACTTTATCTTCATCGAGGGTTCCCTAACAGCTGCACAATACATTGAAGAAGTGTTATCAGAAAAAGTTGTTCCTTGTATGTCACTAATTGACGACGGTTTTATTTTTATGTATCACAATGCAAGGCCCCACATGACTAGGATTGTTGGTGACTACTTTGAACCGACTTCAATTCAATTTGTAGAAGCCAGTATGTAGTCCCGACTTAAACCCTACCGAACACTTTTGGGACAAGTGTCAAAGAGGGTAAAAAGTCACCCAGTGATGCCAGATTAACAGGAATTAGGAATAGTGCTGTCCGAAGAGTATGAAAATACTCCACAGCTCTACATTCAAGGCCTAATAAAATCGATGTCATGTCGAATGCAAGCAGTAATCAATGCAAGATGAGGAGGAAATACTCCGTACTGAATTTTCTTCGTTGTTTCGATAGCAATATTTTTGGTAAAATTGTTTTACTCAGTTTGATATGTTATATTTTTCTTTAAAAATATTCAGTAAACAAAAAAAATTATAATTATTGTATTTACGTTTATTTGGTGATTGTGATTTGCGGCCTTGTGTGATGTAGGTTTAGAAAAACATTTTCTTTACTGTGCCAACGTTTCTATCTTTTTTATGTCATCTTAAGGGCCTGGGATTTACATTGTTTGGATTATACAAATACACGTAAGATGTTAAAATTAATTAGTTCAATAATGTACGAAATATAGACATTTTAAATTATTCAATTCACGTGTTTGTAAAATCCAAACTTGTTTGTAAATCCTAGGCCCTGAAGATGATCTAAATAAAGATCAAAATGTTAGCACAATAAAGAAAATGTTTTTCTAAACTTACATCACCCAAGACTGCATCACATGATCTCCAAATAATCATTCATTAATGGTCACTAAATACGACACATTATTTACTTAAGAAGAAAAAAAACTGATGGTGGCCAAATTTTTTTGCCTCCCACTATACCTAACTATAGTAGGTGGTATATCCAATGATACCCTATTAGTGGGATTGAAGTGAGGAGGAAGAAACAGCAACTCATGTATCTTCAAATGCGAAACAACTGCTCAACGGAAACATAACCTGGGATACAAAAAAAACCAAGGGAAAGGAATTTTAGCAATAACAATCCTTAAAGGATCGAGTCGATTGCACTGAACTAAGGTACTAGGAAAGTAAATAAAGCCCGAAGGATGCAGTGCTTGGGGAACAAAAAAAGTGTTGTATTTAGTGACCGTTAATTTATGATTATTTGAAGATTGTGCAATGCGGTCTTGTGTGATACGTTAAGAAAAACATTTTCTTTGTTGTGCCAACATTTCGATCTTTATTAAAATCATCTTCAGGGCCTGGGATTTACAAACAATGTTTGGATTGCAGAAATTCAATGATGTATGCAATATAGAAATTTTAGGTTCATTCAAAGTATGTTTTCTGTGTGGTTGTGTGTCTTGTTGGGTGTGCATATACAAACATATATATACGAAAAACATTTATATCTTACTAACATACAACCATGACACATCTACACATAAAACACATACTTTGAATGAGTACAAATACTTTGAACAAAGCCTAAAATTTGTATATTGTATACATCATTGTATTTGTATAATCGAAACAATGTTTGTAAATCCCAGGCCCTGAAGATGATCTAAATAAAGATTGAAACATTGGCACAATAAAGAAACTGATTTTCTACACCTACATCACACAAGACTGCATCTCACGATCCCCAAATAATAATAAAAATTTTAAAAAAAGCTTCCTACAGCAAAAACAAGCATATCGATTTTTTTTATCTTTATGCAAAGCTAGTATTCCTAAGCAATGACCTCGAGTCATTATGTAACTTTTTGGCACATGAAGATTGCTTCATTTTGGTTAATATGCTATTTATCAATGTACTTTTTTATCATTTTTTGTTAATCTGATGATAATTATGTGAATTATGAATTTTGCATGTGAGAATTGTTGAACCTCTATTGTTTATTATTTGTAATTGTTGCTTCTGTAACTTGTTGACAATTGACCTCTTGGTTATTTTGGTAGCCAAAAAAAAGTGCTACAATTACCATGGAATGTTTTTGTTTTTAAATGGAAAATAATCAGTTTTGTAATTTTTAATGTGTGTATAGAAAGGGACGATATCGAGAAGTTATAACCGGCGTTAACCTACTTGAAATGGTGGCCCGGTGTCTGATCTCGATTCATCGTTGGAAAAATCGCGTTCTCACAAAAAAAAGCAACTCATTCTCACTCACCCAAAATTCGGATCCACAGAAGTGGCGCAGGCCGTTGGCGGCTTCCATCTGTGGCGTTACTCGGCTGTCGAGGGCGAACGACTTCTCGGCGACTGCCAGTTACTCGGAGCTCGGCCGACGACGGCTACAACCTCCTCTTCTCTCCTCCCTGAAAAGAAAAAAGGCACAAATTTACCCGTTTTTCATGCCGGGCTGACGACGGCCGCCGCGACCTTCCCAAACGGCAGAAACACCCCACTTTCCACACTTCCACAAAACTACAAAACGTCCTCTATTACATCCGCCTGCCTTTTCGATTAACGGCGATCGTAAAGGTTTTTCTACCTTTTTTTTTATTTCCAACAATCGATCTGTAATACTTGGCCGTTCCAGTCCTAAGCCGGTTCTCGTTTTTTTGACGGGTTCAAAATGAGTGGAAAACATTTTTTGGAAGATCCGACCATCATGACAAATAACCTTCTCTTAAAGGTAAAGAAAAAACATTATTTACCGTTTAATTTCTTAACCCTGCCATTCCTTTACTTTTGTATTTTAGTATTTATTTGTACGAATCTCTCTACAAACATTGTCTCAAAAATTTTTGAATATTTGGCCTTTAATTACAGATGAATACTCTGTTAAGCACTACTTTCATAGCTCAAGCTATTGTCACTCTTCTCACAATATTACAAATCAAAAATACATTATGTATCCCAATAATGTCGCTTATATCGAAATAAACACGAAAATGTCAAATGTGTTAGTTTTAAAACTCCCGTTCACCCATTTTTATTTATCTATTGAATATTTAAAGTATCTTGAGCCCTTTTTTTCTTTATCTTTCACGGCGTTCTTATCAAATATCAACCTGGTGCCCATCTTGGCCTTCTAGTATTTTAATTGTTTTTCATCCATTTAGGATGTCATAAACATCGAATTTTTGCATAATTAATCTTTAATCAATTTATTTTTTCATTTTTCCCCTATATAAATTTATAAGACTAGATTCTTTGGATTTTCACAGTTCTTTCAATCTGTCGTTCGCTTTTAACTATTCCGTTGTTTTGGCGGTTTATTTGGCTTTTTGGTTGATTAAGAATGTTTTATTTTTCTCGAGATTTCATGTCTTTGATATTTAAAAAAAACTGAATATTTTTTGTTCTGTTAGTCAGTCATTAATATTTTATCAATCAGGTGCCACCTTCTATCATTACTATTTCATTTTACGTGCTGCAGGGGGTTATTCGAATTACTGGAATTACTGAGGATGTTAAAAATACTTGTATGAAAAAAAAGTCAACAGAACAGTGCATTATTATTTGTATACACTCATTCGCTTTCTTTCTCACTCTCATTCATTCATTCACTCACCCATCCATTCACACAACCGCTCTCACACACATTCATTCTCTCCCTCTCTCACTCACTCTCACAAACCTTAAACCCATTAGAATAAATATACAGGGTGTCTCAGAAATGGTTTTTTTTTTTTTTTTTTTTTTTTTTTTTTTTTTTTTTTTTTTTTTTTTTTTTTTTTTTTGGGAAGACGGTACATCTTATTTGCAACAATTTCCAACATACAGTCCCTATGCCTATCTTCAGTCCATGACGAGTGAGGATTCTTTGTTAGTTTTTCCATTGAAGCGTTACCTTACTTGAGAAAAACACAACTATTCAGCAGGATTCAGCATTAAATTTCCTTTTTTTTTTTTTGTCTTTTTTTCTATATTTCCATCAGAAATGATTTTCAATTAAGAACCTTAATAAATGCTCAAATTTGAAAAATACCGCAAAGTTTGGTTTTTAAGAAACAATGTATAATTGCCTGAAACATTGTATAATGTATGCCCTTGTATTGTTATTATTGAGGAATTTACCGTCTTCTTGGGTACAATCGACCTTTTTGTACACTATAGTATTTTCTTTTAAATATTGTAGACTTAGTTATTTTTAATAATGCTGTTGAAATTTTGTGCTTATATGTACATGATATACATATATCGTATTCGTTCATTAAAAATCATCTTTTACTGATGATTAAAGTAACTTAAAAAAGGTTTAAATATTACAGCAAAATCAAACATTTATCAAAATTGGAAAAATTTAAACGCAATGTTGAGGTTTTAATTTTCTCTTTGGCATTAGTTATTATCAATCTGGTCATCTTTATTGTCTTCTTGTGTGCAATCCGCATTTTTAAATACAACGAATTTTTCTTTATCCAAAGGTTTTGATTATTACTTGCATCGCTCTTTTAATGCTTTTGAGGATTAAACACTTATTTTCATCAGTTTATGTTTTTCTCTCGCTGTGGTTGTTATCAATCTGGTTTTACACCGACTTGTGTAAATCCGTTTTTTTTTGTACATAACAGTTCTTAGCTTTTTTTATATTTTTATAAACTGATTCATACCTTACAAGTTTTTGTTATTTATATTTTATTATTTTAATTAATTGCTGATATTTGGTGTTTTCTTTAGCAGCCTTTATCAATCTGATGCTCTTCTTAAGAGTTTATATACAATTTTTTGTTTTTCTAGTTTTTATTATGACTTAATCAATTATACAGCTTTTAAGGATAAAACACTTTTTTTTATAATACTGTTGAAATATTGTTTTTTTCTGTAGAGGTCATCTTGTCAATCTAGTATTTCTTTAGCGACTTGTGAATTTTTTTTTGATATTTAAATTTTATTTTTTGAACTAATGTGTGATATTTGATGTTTTGTTTAGCAGTTGTTATCAATCTGGTGTTCGAATGTATATACAGATTTTGGTTGTTCTAATTTTTATTGTTACTCACGTCCATTGTATAACTTTTAAGGAAGAAAACTTTCTTTTCATCGTGCTGTTTAAATTTTTGTGTATTGTCTCTAGAGGTCACTTTTATCAATCTGATGGTATAGATGTGACTTGTATAAACGCATTTTTATACACAACATATCTTAGCTTTAACATTTTTAAATAGGTTTTTTCACGATTCCAAGCCTTTACAGTTAAAAAAAAAATTGGGTTTATGTTAGCAGTTGTTATCAAACAGACGCTCATCTTATATATGTTTATTTGTTGTCCTCTTCAGTTTAATTTCTGGTTCACTGAGATTCATGCTTTACCCAGGCGCTTGTAATTATCACGAAATTTTTAAGCAGCAATTAAATATTAATTTTAAACATCATTTTTAGTTCATATCCAGCCTTCAATTTTATCAATCTGGCGCCCTTCATTTCTTATCGATTCCTTGTTTTAGACACATTGCTTTTAAGGATTAAAAACTTTTTTCATTGTGCTGTTAGAATCTTTGTGTATGTACTCTAGAAGTCATTCTTATCAATCTGGTGGTATATCTTTAATGACTTGTATAAACGTTTTTTTATACATAACAGATCTTAGCTTTAACATTTTTAAGTAGTTATTTCCATGATTCCAAGCCTTTCCACTTAAAATATATATATATATATTTTTTTTTATTTATGTTAGTAGTTGTTATCAATCTGGTGCTCATCTAAAGTTCATATTCAGATTTTGGTTGGAGTTTTTATTGTAACTCAAGTTAATTGTATAGATTTTAAGGATTTTTTTTTTCATCGTGCTGTTTAAATTTTTATTTTCTGTAGAGGTCATTTTTATCATTCTGCTGGTATACGTTTAGTGACTTGTGTAAACGGTTTTTTACACACATCAGCCGATTCCAAGCCTTTCCACTTAAAAAAAATATATTTTTTGGGTTTATGTTAGCAGTTATCATTCTGGTGCTCATCTTATACAAGTTTATTTGTTGTCATCTTCAGCTTAATTTCTGGTTCACTGAAATTCACGCTTTATCCAGGCACGTCACATTAAAAAGTATTTTTCATCGTGCTGTTAAAATTTTTGTGTAAGTCATTCTTATAAATCTGGCGGTATATCTTTAGTGATAAGTTTCTGCAACTTACACATCCTAGAATGCATGTAAGTGGCTACACCCAGCCGTATTTTATTGGCAAAAAGCTGTAAGCATTTATTAATATTTAGCCAAACTTGTATTTTGTATATTATTATTACTTTTATTTAGGCTTATTTTTGTACTGTATCAATTTATCTTCAAAACTTCCACATTTATTTTAGATAGAATTATGATAGAGTGTAACAGTGGATGTTTCCAGCCTGAAATCATTGGGTAAAAGGGCGAAAGGCTAGGAAATATATTTCACGCGATACCTTTTCTGTCTAAAACCACCCCATTGATACAAAATAAATTGTTATCAACACTCGATAGCTCATCCATTCATTTCGCCTAATTCCTTTGACTATGCGGCTCTTTATTTCAGGAAGTGAAAATCCTACCAACGTTGAAATATTCAGCCAATTATTTTGAGAAATTTTACTTTTACGGAAAATTTCATAAATGTTTGGGATTCGTTTGACTGCATATATGCTAAAATTAAAGTTGATTTAGTTACAACCATGGTTTTTTTTAGTCACAATTTATTTAAAGCGTCTTCTTTGAACTGAAAGGATTCAATTCCAATTTTATGATTTATCTTAAAAGAAATATCTATGTTTACTTAAGTCATCGATCTGAAAGGATTGAATTACAATTTTTTTGACTTTTTATCATAACAGAAATATTTATATTTACTTATGTCTTGTTCTTGTATTTATTTTGTTTTTATAATAAATAAAAATAAAGTAACACGATTTGAAAATTTTCTGTGATTTAAGTGAAACTTAAATAAATACAGCCTTGCGTTGGTAAGATTTTGGAATGTGGCCAGATAAATAAAATAAAAGCATTCGACTTTTATGTGTTGTCTAGAGCATAAATAAATCCTCAAACCAGACTCTTCTTTGTGCTCCAATGCATAAAATATATTAAAATATCGGGTTTTAAAAATTAAAAAAAAACCTCCAGCGTGAGTTGTAAAGTAATTATTTCCCTTCCATTCCTTTGTGCACCATTGTATATGTGCCTAAGAGCGTTGCAGGTTCTTATTTCAAAACAGCAATTATTGGTCAAGGCCGGGATTTCGACGTTGAACGATGGTCAGGCAGAAAGAAAAGAAACGAGTCAAAATTACCTCTATAAAGACACCAATGCACAAAACACTACCGGCACACACACCACCGCACTCTTTAACATCCCCGGACGGACTGATAAAAAAAGGACCGGCAGTGATTCTTTTCAACTGGAGGGGTATGTTTTCTCTCGGTTGTGTAATCCTTTGATCCGGCCGGCTCGTATGTCTTTGCAAAGGCCGCATACTTCTAATCTATTCCATACTCACACGAATCTTCTGTAGATTTCAGCTAAATCCAGGTTGATTTTTTTACAGTTATATTGCTAAGTTTTGCCTTCCACCGACCTACACGTAAGTTTTTATTAGGTTTTGTCTCAAAATCCAATTTGGTTTTTTTAATTTTACAAATTTCACCTGAGGTTTATGTCAACCG